CCACCAGATGCTCTGCCGGGGAAGGAGGGGCAATCTCCTCCTGTACCAGTCAGATCTGATTTGACGGTACACGCACACAAAAATAATAAAATAAAAAAAAAAAAAGAATTACACACTTTAGTCCAGCTGAAATAGCTCAGTTGGGAGAGCATTAGACTGAAGAATTATACATTTTTAAAAAGTGTATTTTATTGACTTATCCTTTGGAGGAAAATTAATCAGTGTGCTTCTTAAAGGTAATGATGGTGAAACTTCATCTCACATATTTTGCACGTTATTAGGAGACACTTGTTGTTATGTGCCATTGAGTCGCTTGTGACTCAGAGTGAGCCTATGTAGAAGAGCCCTAAATCTTGCTCTATTCTGTGCCAACCTCACTGTCTCTGATACACCTACTCCCATTACCCCCATCACTGAATCTGTCCATCTCATCACAGGTCTTCCTCTCCTGCGCTGTCCCTCCACCCTCCCAAGCATGATATCCCTCTCCAAGGACTGATCCCTCCTTGCAACATGTCCAAAGTATGTCAGACAAAGCTTCAGAATTCTTGCCTCCAAGGAGCAGCCTGGTTTAACCCTCTCCAGGATGAATCTGTTTTCTTAGCAGTCCATGGTATATTCAGTAGTCTTCTCCAGCACCACAGCTCAAAGGCATCAATTCTCCTTCTGTCCTCCCTAGTCATTGTCCAGCTTTCTGATGAATAGCACACAACTGGCAGTGGAAGAGAGGAAGCCCTCTAAGAAGAGGAATTAACAGTGACAGCAACAAAGGGTTTAAGCATGGCAGAGACATGAGGATGGCATAGGGTAGGGCAAGGTTTCCATCTGCTGTTCATGGGGTCTGTGAGTAGTAGATTCCACAACATCTAACAATCACCACCTATCTAAAAAAGAATCAGTTTTTGGAGTTCTCCAGACAGAGCAGAAGCTGACATACACCTCTTCTCTCCTAGTAGCCACCAATAAAAAATATTGGCACCAAACATCAAAGTCTTTACACATTTGTCTCTTGCTGAGACAGAAAAAGATACACTTTTAAAAAATAAATAAAGGCCCTAATATTATTATGCTAAAAAAATCAGATAAGGCCTCTCTCCTATTTCCTTTCAAAGAGGGAGGTTTGTCCATTTGGGAATGTAACTTTCTTTTTTTTAAATTTTTTTTTTCAGTCCTGTGTCTTTATTAAAGAGAGTTAAAGTAGACCAGACCTGGCAGCCAATGGAAGAGGCAGTGGCCAGGAAGGTGGGGTGAGGTCAGGCCTTAGGGATTCAAGAGCAGGCTGATGGCCTTGGAGAGGCCAAGGAGACGTCCTGGCAGCAGCTGAGGAGGTGTCTAAGGTTAAGCTTTCAGGCACTGAGGCTGTCAGCTGATTCTGCAGGGGCGTGCAGGCTGGGTCGGACTGGTGCGAGATCTTCTTGAAGACACTTCTGTCTTGTCTACCTGGATCATCCACTGGTCCTGATCCTGCTCATTGCCTTCCATGTCCACCTCATTGACCTCTCCATCATCAGGTGATTCATTGTAGTCATTCATCTCATCCATGTCCTGCATGTCCTCATCATCTTCTGAGTCTTCCTCACTATCTTCATCATCTTCTTCTTCTTCATCATCATAGTGCTCTGAGGCCGGCTTGCCAATAGGCACCGGGTTGTTGTCTTTTTCTGCAATGCTCTGGAGCCAAGCTTGATTGTTGTTTTTCCTGCTGTTGCAGTTCCGTCTCCTCCACACAGGGTCGATCCAGATTAAACCAGAGTGTCTCCGTCACACGGGGAAAGAGTGAGGGAAACAAAGTAGACATGGCTCCTAGACGCGCCCGTAGGCGGCAGCCCGCAGGGACCCGGAAGCACTTCTCTTTTTTAAATTTTTTAAAAACTATTTTATTATTTTGTGTGTGTGTGTGTGTGTGTGTGTGTGTACCATCAAATCGGATCTGACTGGTACAGGAGGAGATTGTCCCTCCTTCCCCAGCGAGGATCTGGTGGAGTCGAACTGTGCTCTTCTGGGATTGCAGTGCAGCTTCTTGCCACTAGGCCACCAGAGCTCCCCTGGGATGCAACTTTCTAATAAATCTGTCTTTTCTATTTAAAAAAATCAGAAGTATGCATACCTATACATGTGTGTATCTTTGGTGGTTTGAATCCTCCAGTGGCTCCTGGGTAGAAAGCTGGGCAGTTTCCACCATTATACCCTCTGGAAACCCCCCTGGAAGGTCAGCAGTGGACTGGTTCCCGAGTCATCACTGGATGGCAATGACTGAGAGTGCAGACCTAAAGCAAAGCTCTGGCAAAGTACTTTTTCCATGTTTGCCTGCTAACCTGAGGGTCAAGAGTGATTCCAACAGCAGCTCTGGGAGAAAAACTAGGCCTATTTCTATAAAATTACATTGTATGAGTTGTTACTGTTGTTAGGTGCCATCGAGTAGCAACTCATAGCAACCTCATGTATGACAGATCAGAACCCTGTGCCAACCTCACACTTCATGACACACAAGAGCCCGCTGCAGCAGTCACGGTGTCAATCCACCTAGCTGAGGGTCTTTCTTTTCTTCGCTGACCCTCCACCCTTCCCAACATCATGTCCTTTTCCAAGGAACAGCCCCTTCTAAAAACAAGCCCAATGTATATGAGGCAAAGCCTCATTGTTCTTGTCGCTAAAGAACACTCCAGCTGTACCTTCTCCAAGCCATATGTATTTGTTCCTTTGGCCGTCCATGGAATGTTCAGTGCTCTTCTTCAACACCACAGCTCAAGGCATCAATTCCTTTTCTGTCATCCTTATTCATCGTCCAGCTCTCAGACGAACTGCAAGTCCTATAAGAAAGTCTATGGGCTGAATCAGATGCACTTTAGTCCTCAAACTGACATCACTACTCCTCAATAATTTTGAGAGGACTCTAACTGCAGATTTTCCGAGTGCAATGCATCTCCTTATTTCCTGACTGCTGGAATCAAGGGTGTTAATTGTGGATCCAAGCAAGAGAATGCTTTTAACAGTTTCAATCTGTTTTCTTGACATTGAGATGGAATCCATACCGAAGGAGGCATTCCTTGATTTTCTGCACCAAGTGCTTCAAGTCCTCCTCACTTTCAGTAAGCACGGTTGTGTCATCTACATAATGCAGGCTATTGATGAGTCTCCCGCCTATCCTGGTGCCGTAGGTCCTCTTCAGAGTCCAGATTATAGGACAATTTGCTTAGCATACAGATTGAATAGATTTGGAGTGAGAATACAACCCTGACCCACTCCCTCCTCCATTTAAAACCATGCAGTGTTCCCCTGCTCTGTTGTTTATCCACTTTTG